TAAAAGTTAAATAACATCCATAAAAATTTGGGAGAATTTCAAAAATACATTTGTTCAAAACCACATTCCATGTTTTGAAATCTTCATTGTTAATGCCACTAAAATTAAATATTAATTCAAATAATTGCGCAAACTTATAAACATATGCACAATTACCTAGGGGAATTTGCAAATCAGGTGGTCCATTGTAAGCCCAAATTGGACTCTAAAAATCTTAAACTGATCAGTTTATTTTTTATCTTCTTTAGATTTATTAATTCTTGCAGATTATGAAAACTGTTACAAAGATAATTCTACCATGGACAATACTCCATGTTGATCTTGAACAATACTCCATGTTGATCTTGAACACCTCCTTTTCCATTCGCGATCAACACCATTGGACCAAAGGGGCTTCTACAATCTTAATCAATTTGACTACGAATAAAAACTACACATTCATTTAAAACTATAAATTATAACTGTGCAACAACTACATATATTTTTTTGTGTATGTGGTTTACTTAGAAAGCTGCCTATCGCATTTGTAACGTTCCAACATCCATCTTTTTTTAACGATCCCCACATTTTTCTCAGTCTCTAGGCCTATCCTTATCCGACGACCAGTTCGTTACGGTATGGAGGCTTTGAAAACTTGTTTACCAATCTTTTCTCGTGTTTTGTCTCGACTAGTACAATTTCAACAAATCACTTTCTGGAAGATCATCCGTCGTGAAACTAATCCAGCATAAGCACACTTAGCTATGGAATTCTCTTAGATCGAAAAAATATTTTCATTTTTAATTATAACCAAAAAAGAATTGCTCGAGAAAAGAAACAAATATTAGTGTCATAAGTCCTAAGCAATATTGTGCTGTCTTTAGTTAATTAATTGCACTAAAGAAACAAATGAAGCAACAATTAACTCTGCAATACAAAATTAAACCTCCCAAAAAATAAAAACACGAAATAGGAAATAAACAAAGATAGGTAATAATCCCAACAGAAATAAAAAAACCATAGATTTCATTTTTTTCCTCCATTAGCTCAAAAGTCACATCTCTCTACTCCGACTTGTTGGTATCATGGGTTAGGTTGAACTGTTCGGTGCGTTAACAAGTCACAAAGAAACTGGACAAGCCTCAACGACTGTACATCGAACAAGTAAAAGAATGAAAACTAATCTATCACAAAGAATTAATGAAACCATAACATTTTATGTAGAAAATCCGAAAATCAAAAGAATGAAACCAATCTTTCACACAAGAACGAATTAATGAAACCATACTTCTTATGTATAAAATCCGAAAATCGCTGAGTTCAATAAAATTTCTGTCTATACTCCTTAGAGATATGAGAATTTGTAACATTGTTTCCGATACAACAAACTCCTCAATAGAGAGACCAAAAGGATCACAAGAAGGGAGATGGATTTACAACAATGTGCTTTAAAGGATTTGCAACATCACTACCACCAGCATGTTTAATGAACTCTGCCGGTGAGAGGAAGCTTCCATGGCACACACATACAATCCTCACCTCCTCACCTTTCCCGTACCTATACAGAAACCCATCAATCTTTTTCCCGTTCGGTCCATTGCCTATTGTTGACACACATGGCATGTCTTCCATGATGTTTCGGGTTGCTTGTTTACCCGCATTCTCGGGCTGGGATTGAGCAGTTGAAGGGCTTGTTTCCACGGACTTGTTTGTTGTTACTTCAAACACAAGAAAAAGTATTTCAATTAAACTCCAAACAAGAGACAACACTAAACATAATCAACCAAAATGTCAGCAAACCCTACAAGATTTACTAGGTTCGCTTTTCGAATCTTATAATTGATAATCCCTTGAATATAAATTTATCACTTAGAATGGGAATAAAAACAATGTGGTAACAATAACTGCTCTTTTTCGCTCCAAAATTCGTTTATTTCGGCTAACGATTCCTAAAATGGCCAAACATCGGACTCTAAACACCTAAAAGACACGTAAACACAATAAAAGGCGCGAAATAAAACGACAAACAAAGATTCAAAATCTCTAAAACAACCTAAAAGACACCTAAACACGATAAAAGGCGCGAAATAAAACGGCAAACAAAGATTCAAAATCTCTAAAAGCACCTAAAAGACACCTAAACACGATCGAAGGCGCGAAATAAACTGTTAAACAAAGACTCAAAATATCTCAAACACCTAAACCCGATAAAAGGCAAAATTAAACGCTAAACAAAGACTCAAAATCTCTAAAGAACATCTAAAAGACACCTAGATTCAATAAAAGACCCAACATAACACATAAATCATAGACTTAAAAACACATCCAAAGATGATTGATCCACGCTAAGATAAAGAATCCAACATAACACATCACATCAACCACAATGCAAACAATTGATCAAGAACCAAAGAAGATTCAAAAGATAAAGAATCTAATATCCAAAAGAAGATTCAAGTTCTTCTACCCTAATAATTATTAGTCAAGAACCAAAGATCTAAACAAGACAAACAAAACCCATCAAACTCCAATTCCAAAGTCTATAGTTACCATGCATTAATCCAAAATTCCGAAAACACATGAAAGATCACAAAGATTGAATGTAATGTACCTTGAACAGGAGGAGGGATAGTAGTATCAACTTCAGACAAACCAGAGGAACCACTTCCAGAAGAACCAATAGATCCTTCTTCAAAGACCTTATCATCTCCACCAGCAGCAGCTTTATGTTTCCTCTGCTTCTCTGATCTCTTCCTCTTAGCCTCGAGCCTCCTCAAGCTCTGCAACTCCTTCCTCTTCCTCCACTGCTCCTCCGTTTCCGCAGGCATCGAACAAGTCCTACTCAAACCTGATCTATCGTTGACCACCAAATCAAGAACCGATGAAGACCTCGTGAGCCTTGTTTTCGCAAGTGGGTCAACACCAAATCTTCCATTGAGAGACAAACCTAAGTCCAACTCAATCTCTACATCTCCATCTTCTTCAGACAACCTCTGCTTCTTCGACATGAACCTCTGCAACATAACTCCGGTTAGATTAGAGATCTCTCCTTAATTTTTTTCTTTCTTCTCTTCTTATTCTCTCAAACTTTTAGATTTAAAGATCAGAAATTTTCAACAGATTCTTGATGATAAAGAAACAAATTCAAAATCCCAAAAGAAAAAGAAAAAAATCAAATTTTAGAAGATTTTATTTCTTCGATTAATCAAGACCTTCCTTTTATAATTCTCAATAATAATAAATAAAAATCTCACCAAATTGTTTTCAACATTTACCGAAAAAATCTCCGACAAATCTCGAACGAACACTCTGAAGAGAATTTAGAATACAATCAGAAAAAAGCTGTTTTGTCTAAATTGCGTAACTTTAAAATACCAAAAGTACCCTTATTTGGTGCATTAACGACACGTGGACTTATGCTAAGACTTATTGACCCAAAGGACTTAGAACACCCACGTGGTTTTTGATACAGAGAGAAACAAAGACCAGACTGGACACGTGTCCTGTGCTCAATGGTGTTTACGTTATAAGTTGGGATGTCGCAGCGTCAGGTCGTCACGTGTCTTTGTTTTTTAATTAAAATCACATTATCTTGTATGTCGCCACGTGTCCATAAATGTTATCTTCTATTTATTTTTCTCTCTTCTCTAGAGATGTTTGACACGTGGAGTTTATTTGGTTTATATCTTTTTTTTTTAACCATTATAAGTAAACGCAACTTGACTAAAAAAATCGAATATTTAAAATAAAGTGTGTATTTTTTTTCCAAACGATATAATAATAATAGTCAACAATTAACATCGTATCCGTTGATAGAATAATATTTTTCCATTTGGTTAGTGGGATGGTGGGTTTATAATTTTTAATAAAATGAACATGACTTACAGAAATTAATTTTCTGTTAATGTAATAAATATTTAATACTATCTTCATTCAACTATGGGTGATTTGATTTGAACATAAATTTGACTACATTTAGCCACATATAAAATTAACACGCGAGCTAAGTTACTATGATTAGAGATTTACTTTGTGATTTGATATATTTAAAAATTAAATGAATTTATTTTCATATTAAATATGTGAAACTTTTTACTAGTAATGAAAAGAAATATTATTGTAAACAAATTTAAAATTTATTATATCTTTTTAAAATTTGGTTAATATTTTCCCAAATTCAAACTTTTCGTCATGTTCATAATTTTAAATATGTCTTCAATTTTTTATATAAAATTTATTTTTAAATATGTCCTTAATTGTAAACTAGTATTCAGATTGAGTAAGTAATGCTCTATAATTGTTCCACTCTTACATATGTACTTTTTATTGGATTAAATCATAGTTTTGTGAAAAACTTAAATGAATTTTGAAATAGACGAGTTTCAACGGTAACACGAATTTTAATATTTTTACTTTGAGATTAAATTACTTGTAAGTACTTAAAATATTTGGAATAAAAAAGAGTAAATAAATATATAGTAAATCAAATAATGCGCATAGCTAGATTTGTTTTGGATTATGTTCTTTTGAGAGATTGAACTGAATTATCCAAACCTTTATTATATCATATTACACTACATACACACAAAAGTACCAATCAATTTCTCACATTCAAAAACTCATATAAAAAAACCCACAAGGTCTGAATGGTTATATCATAGTTACCTTACCATGGATAAATCTATTAGCGGAATACATCGTTTTATTTTTATGATGGACTATAAACTGTTGTTAGCTAATTCTATTTGTATGTAAAAGTGGTTCGTGATTAGTCTGTAATATTTTCTTATAATTTTTTTAATTACATTATAAACTGTTGCTGGCTGACTTTATTTATATGTAAAAGTAGTTCGTGATTAGTCTGTAATATTTTCTTTTAATTTTTTTAATTACACTATTATGATCTATATTTGATGAATAATGAATAAAAAAGGTCTATTTTATTTATAGTTTTGTCCACTTCAAACAGCTGCTACCATTCGAACCCAAAAGATTGTAAAATGTCCATATGTGATAAGTGCTCCAAAATAATTTAAAATCATATCATAACATGTGAAAGTTACGTATGTAAATAGACAACAACAACAAAATGGAATCCGAAGAGAAGAAACACACACGCAAGAAATCAGACAAGAGATCAGAATAGTGGACCTTACAACAATTTATTTTTTAACTTCAACTTGCAAAAATATTCCAAACTTTGTTGTTTCGGTTCTATCGACGTCACTCCTTTGGGTGTTTGACACGTTCACTTCCTCGACAATCACACACGTGTTTAGCTTTCATTGTTTTACAACAGCTAAGCAAAACCATCAAACCAAATTAGAAAGTGCATAGAGAAAAAGAACTAGAAAGCGATTTTTTATTTAGATAATGAAAGGGGTACTCAACTAATCATTAATGATATAATTTGAATTCTAATAATACTAATTTTTTGGAATTTGTAATGACTAATTCAATTACTAGATCAAGGGATTTACACAAATATGACTAATTTGTAATAGCCCGGTTTGTTTCATCACCGCCGACGGTAGCGGTAGCGGCAAGAAAGAGAGAAGTACTGTTCTGATGCAGAGTATAAAAAGAGTGCCTAAACAACCCAGAAAATTATGAAAATTGGTGGAAAGATTCACAACAAACATACAAAGCCACAGGAAAAAAACAGATCTTGATTTGGATTTCCGGATTAAAAGTTATGAACAAATTTCCAACACATTAACTGGATTGACACAACACCACGAACAGTCAACTAAAGCAATTTTCTATCAAACCAAATGGAACCAGAAAACTCTCTTTATATCAATGGAAAGATCTTGCTGTCTAGTTTCTTGAACATATTTCAGATATAAAATCTGAGGTCTTTAGCCACACAAGCAACATAATCAAATAATCTCAATCCATTATAGCAAAACCCATTAAAACAACACAATCAACTAATCTCAATCTATGCTAAAACAGAGATGGGGAAAATTATAGAAGAAGATCCAGAATACTTACCAAGAGAACAAAGATGAGAGCAGAGGAGCAGAGAAATCGAATCTGGTGATGTTCTTCTCTTCTTCGCCGTTGTTCTTCTTCTCTTAGGTTTAGGATTTGTAAAACATTAAACCAGGGTGTTTTTGTCAATTTCCAGATTGAATGCAACATTTCAATCAATTTCCAGATTGAATGCAACATTTCAATCACGACCGCTGAATAAAACTGGCGTTTCAAAATTCTCGCCGCAAAACGCTGTGTTATGACGCAGCTCATTGCGGTGACGAAACGAACATCATTAGCTGCGTCCGCCGCAGCCGCAACTACCTGCGGCGGTGAAACGAACAGCTCCAATGTCAACAAATATGGTTATACAGTAACATCACAACTAGAATATCTAAGTAGAAATAGTCATATGATTGCTCAAGATATAGCCAAAATATGAATTGGGGGAAAATTTGAATTTCAAATCCTATATATATCTCAATTGGTGTTCCATATCGGCTTTTTCTCACATTGTTGAAGACCTTCGGTCAGTTATTTTTTAAAGTGGACAATTTTCCGTTGATCTTATAAGTTTTTTAAAAAAATTATCCAAAACAATACATAAAAGTACAGTAATGACTATAACAACATAGTAAATAATGTAATTACTAAAAGAGCACATAAATGTTTTTGGGAAATTACATTTCATAGACACCGATAACCTATTAATTAAAAATATAGCATCCAATATTCCATATTTTGCTCCCTTTTTAACCTCGCAAGTTTAGCCCTATACTACACTCTAAAAGCATAGATGATGCCACCTATTTTCTTTTTCTTTTGGTTTCTTCTACTCGCTCTGTCTCTCTCCTTTTCAAACACGGCTGCTAAACTTTACTTTTAGTTTTTCATTCCTCCAAGGCTATCATGTTAGTTATCAGTATAACATAACAGTTACTTGATTCCTTCTCACTCTAACAGTTACCGGTATAACATAACAGTTAACATAATCCTTCTAGAAGTTCAAGTGTTGAGTTAGTAAGTCCCTCATTTCTATTTAATTTAAATTTTTTAATTTATAAGACAAGGCATGTTACCTAAATATACTAATTGTTACGTTCAAAAACTGCTGTTATTGACTAAACTGAATGATATACATATATATATATATCCTTGTGTTGGAAACTATACTAACACGTCTATAAAAACGACAGTATTAGTTATTAGTCTAAAATTTATCAACCTAAGATAATTTTTACTTGGTAAAATTCGCCATAACTCGGATTTAGTATGTGTTTGGTTACATTGTACTTTTCACTAAAAGATGCACGAGGTGCCATTCCTCTGATGAGGATGAATACATAACTCACCTAATTTACCTGATAACAAATACATAATCCTCTAATGCTTTTTCTATCCATTATCCATAATGTTATGATTATGTATACATACTCTTTTAGAAGGTCAAGTGTGTAAGTAGTGATACCTTGTTGTATTTAATACCAAAATTTTAATTTATAAGATAAGGGTTGTTACCTCAATATACTAATTGTTATGCTATCGACTAAACATAATGATATCGCATATCTTCGAAGGTATCATCGACAGCATTTAATGCTGGAGTTGTGGGCATTTGTGTGTATCTTTGTCAGTAGGGAACAAAATCAATTCATTAAACCATGTAAATCTTTATAGAGCTATATTTGTCTTTATCTTGAACATCAAGTGAGAAAACTAGTTTTCTATTTAGTGATACCAAACTTTTTGTTTTACACTCTACCATGTCTATAGTTTTAATCAGTCCAATGTTTTTCAAGTTTTATGACTAAACGTTTCAATATTGATCGAAGATAATATGTGCATAATATAAAAATAGGAAAAAAATATCATTTTAAATTTACTTTTCCAATGGGCTGGGTGTTTGTTTGGGTTTGGTTCGGATATTTTGTGTGTTTGGGTTTAGGCACATATGACCCATTCAAATGTTTTAAATATACAAGAGGATGGGTGTAGAATACATGGTGATGCATGCAGAGAGGTTTAACATTATCGATTTTTGACTACCTATATCACGACAATATACTTATATTTTCGGTCAACTCGAGAAAAATCCAAAATTAAACATGCTTATGTTGGAGTAGTTTTAGAATGACATTATGGGAAGTGATTGTTAGAACCGTGCAAATCAGAACATAACACGGATAAAGATAATATGGGTCATCCTTAGCGACAGTCGGTAAGCAAGTCTTTTAAAGTAATGTTTTTATGTGTTGAAATCTGATCATTGGATTTGACCTATATAACAAGATTAATTACTAACTTTGGAACCAATATTTGTGATATGTAAATATGTTTTTCTGTTTTTATTTTAAATTTTCTACATATTTCTTATCTCGTTAGAAATAGAAAGTGATTTTCGTTTTACACATATTAAGAGGTTATCATTGCAAATAAATCTCAAAACTCATTGAAGTGGAAATTTGGATTTTTTTTACATAAATGCATAAACTCTCAAAATCAAGATTTTGTTTCCATAATTTTTATTGGATAACTATTAACTCAACAGATTTTAGAAAATCAAAAATCAAAATACCAAAATGCATGCTAGAAAATACTATCATTAAATATTTTTAGTGATATGTTTGATAATTTTTTTTTATTTTCTACTAGTTAGTGATTTGTCAATCGTAGACAATAATGATACTCTTTACAAAAGGAAAGCAAAACTCCAAATGTAACATTACATATTTGCATGTCAAGTAAACGCTAACCTAATTTCACTTAAAAATATTTGTTTTGATTTGCTGAGAAGAAGAAGAAGAGAATAAGAAGATCGTGATACAAATCCAATTATAATTATCGATTTGGGGATAATTTGATTTGGGGGGTTTTTGTTTTTGGATTTTAATCGGTTTAGATTATAGTTAAATTGGTTTATGATTGGTTTAATTTTGTGTTTTTGGGTTAAGACGAGATTGATCTACATTTAACCAACAATAACCCAACTCGATGTGTAAATCAGTTTCGAACTTTATTTTTATGGGAAATAAGTTTCGAACTTTATATCTAGAGAGAATTAATTGTGAAACTTTTTTCTGAGGGAGATATAGAGAGACTGGAAGTTTGGGTGAAACTGGACATTAGGGGTCCAAGGATCCAAGGATCATTGTCCAACCTGGACATATATGCCCACTGCATTCAGACACTTGCATAAATTCTCAAATTCCAAATGTGACTTTGTTTCTTTAACAAGAAAATTAGGGGTCTAATAATTAAGTACGTACGTAGATGTAAATGTACAATAATAGTTTAACGTAGATGATTAAATGAACATAATCGTAGTGAGTTTCTCCCTACTTAAATAAACAAAAATTACGTTAACAAAATGTGAAAAATTCTGATATCTCTTTATCTTTCTAATTTTGGAAAAGGGTCTAATTTAAAAACCTAGAGTGAAAGAAAGAAAAATATAAAGGTTATATTAAATTCATCTAGAAAACATCATCAAGCGTTAAATAGGGGTTCTCGCGTCCAACAATTTTGCCTTTAAGTTCTTTAATTCTTTCTCAATTTGGTAGCACCCATGTTCTAAAAAATTAATATAAATTTTGAGTTTATGTCAAGAATTGGGTAGAGTCGGTTTAATTCCGGCTGATTTACTAACTTGGTCAATTTATTAATTAAGTCAAATAATATTCATTTAGTCAAATGAAATCAAGAACCCTATTTTTATCAAAGTGACGCCTCCTTGGTGCATGATTCGTAGTTGATTGTCGTGATCTACTTTAAAAAAAAAAGAGAGAAGCTACGCGACATCGAGGGAGTGCTTTACACCAGGAATTTGAACGTTAGCGGTTGGTTTCAGTTTTAGGGTTTTGTCTGTGAGACTGTATTTTTCTACGGTTTATCCCAATTTGCTTCAAGGTTTTTTTTTTTGTTGTGGCTTGTTTTAGGGTGCGTTGAACTGTTGTAATCTTGAGGAGATTCTCTCCTAACTGTGTTTGTTGTTCGAATCCTTTTTGTAAGGTGAGTATGTAACCATGAGTTTATCTAAGCGATTGAGATTGAGTTACTTATTTTGTGATGATGTGTAAGTGTGTTCGAGGTTTCTTTGGATATGTTCTATATACATAAAAAAACAAACCAACCAACCAAACATCCAATGACATCTCCAACACACCTACACATCATCATGAAAATAAGTCACTCAATCTCAATCGCTTTGATAAGCTCATAGTCACGCAGTCACTTTAACAAAGTGATTCGAACAATAAACATAACCAGGAGAGACTCTCCTCACGATTGAAACATCCCAACAACGCCTTACAACAAGCCACACAAACAGAAACAACTGTGAAGCAAACTAGACAAAAAGACAGAAGAAAATACAATCTCACAGACGAAATTCTAAAACAGAAATCAACCGCTAACTTTCAAATCTCTCCAAATAGAAAGCATGCCTTGGGTGTTAAGTAGCTTCCCAAAAAAATTTGTGTCGATCAGGTAACAGACGAGACCACGATCACACTTTTAACCTCTGCTGGTCCGAGACCATGCCTTGGGTATATTTTTCAAAGATACGCTTAACAAATTCCACCTACAAGAATAAAAATGATGAATAAAAACCAAATCTTGTCCCAAAATCAAGAAAATTTAGTAAATGGTAGTGTCTCCTAAAAGTTTGAATTCATTTATACACCTATGAAGGAACAACTTGAAAGCCATTAACTTCAATGCTTTCAATTAGCAACACACGAGTCCCCTTAATCAAATCTTTAGACAGTACTTCATTTCAGCGTGTAATTCTCCTGTGCAAAGTAAGAGTGTGTTTCTAGCATTTTTTTTACAAACACTATGTCTTCTGATTACAATCCTCTAATCGTTTCATCAGTGCAAGGTTTTGTGTGATCGTCATTGAAAATTTAGCCTCTGAAGTTAACTTGTTTGCAGAGTTCAAGCATCATTGTCAATGAGCTGCAGAATCCAATATGGCAGCAGCTTCTTCAGTTTGGTCCGATAATGGTAGATAAGTAGTGATGATAGTTCTGTATCTAAAATTAATATTATTTTGCAGAACTATAGACTATATTTAATTTGTTTGATCAATCGTTAATCATAAGATAATATTATTTTGGAGAACTTTAAGTTTAAAGTTTTGACTAAATTGATCGGTAAATGATGTCAGATCAAATTTTCTCTGAGAATCTGATTTTCAGGTGATTGATTGTCAACGAGAAGTTATGGCTGAAGGAGTTATTTCGTTTGGAGTTGAGAAGCTTTGGGATCTCCTGAGTCGAGAATCTGAGCGACTGCAGGGAATTAATGAGCAAGTAGATGGTCTAAAGCTGCAGCTGAGAATGTTACGGTCGTTGTTGAAAGATGCAGATGCCAAGAAACATGGAAGTGATCATAGGGTGAGAAGCTCCTTGGAAGATGTCCGAGACTTGCTTGCTTGCTTACTGGATCGCCACAAAGTTGCTTCAGATATCGAAGGCATCACTGAGAGGATCTCTAAGGTGATTGAGGATATGCAGAGTTTTGGGATTCAACAAATCATTGATCATGGTAGAGACAAAGGGCTCAGAGAGAAATACGACATACCTTTGCTAACAGTCCTGAAAGCAATCTTGTCGGGGTGGAGGAGAAGGTTGAAAAATTGGTTGGTCATTTGGTGGAGAATGATAGATTTCAAGTGGTTTCTATATCTGGAATGGGCGATATTGGTAAAACCATTTTGGCCAGACAAGTCTTTCATCATGACACTGTCCGACGTCATTTTGATGGATTCGCATGGGTCTGTGTATCGCAACAGTTTACACAGAAGCATGTTTGGCAGATGATCATGCAACAACTTCAGCCACACGATGGTGGGATTTTTTTTTTTGAATAATCAAAGATGTTTTGGGCCGAAATCCATACATCTCCTCAGGCCCAAAACCAAAGCATGTTATATGGTTTCGTCCCAAGCGCTACTCGAACCGGCGACCTCTAAGCTTTTGCCAGAGATCTTTACCAATTAAGCTATTAGCACTTGGTACGATGGTGGGATTTTACAAATGGACGAAAATGTACTGCAGAGTAAACTCTATCAATTATTGGAAACCGCTAGATATTTGGTTGTCGTAGATGATGTATGGAAAGAAGAAGATTGGCACCGAATAAAAGAGGTGTTTCCACGGAAAAGAGGTAAATCTTAAAAGTAATATATAGCATAAATGTGTTTTATTCCCTAACATGAAAATACAATTATTTTGCAGGCTGGAAGATGCTACTTACTTCTCGGAATGAAGGTGTTGGGTTACATGTTTACCTTTTAGAGCAAGAATCCTTAGTGTCAAAGAAAGTTGGAAGCTCTTTGAGAGTATCGTCTCTAGGAGAGATTAAATTGGTACACTTTCAAATATAAAATTTAAATCGAGAATCTAGTTAATTTTGTTTTGGAATGTATTGACCTTGTGATGTTGTGCAGCATTACCATTGTTTGATGAAGAAATGAAAGCCATGGGAAAGGAAATGGTCACATATTGTGGAGGACTACGATTGATTGTTAAAGTGTTGGGAGGCTTGTTAGCTGGCAAACATACAGTTCGTGAGTGGAAAAGAGTTTCTGACAATATTGTAGTTCAAATCGCGACAACACGGGAATACAGAATATTGTCTTTGAGCTATGAAGATTTGCCAATGCATTTAAAGCATTGCTTCCTTCACCTAGCAAATTTCTCAGGGTGTTAGATCTTTCTAATGTAAAGTTTGAAGGAGGGTTGTTAGCTCATCCACTTGAGATTCTTGGACTTATGCTGGGCTAAGGTATCTCATCTACCTTCTACTATGCGGAATTTAAAGCGTCTGCTCTATTTGAACTTAGAAGTTGATTTATCTGAACCTATTCATGTGCCAAATGTTTTGAAAGAGATGCTAGAGTTGAGGTACCTTGTCTTACCTGAGATTATGCATGATAAAACCAAGTTGGAATTGGGTGACTTAGTGAACCTGGAGCTCTTGTGCAATTTCTCAACGCAACATAGTAGTGTGTCATACCTCCTTCGTATGACTAAGCTTACGTCTCTCTCTGTATCCATGAATGAAAGGTTTACTTTACAAACTCTATCGTCATCTCTCCTTGAATTGCAAAACCTCGAGACGCTTAGGATCCTTCATCTGGACCATACGTTAAAGGAACTGAAGATTGCAAAAATGAAGCAGGAGTGGAAGGAGAAATTGTTTCAGGTGGACAAGATTACTACAAAGTCCAACACATTCCAAGTGTTCAATTTTTCAACTATGATGAGAATAATCAGTAGCAGGTAACGAGAAATTGTTTAATAATGTTCACTTTGTTGGCTCTACGTTCTATTTGGATTCATGTGAAAGTCTTGTGGACAGTCGCAATTTACATACATTGTTCTAACATGGATCATCTCTGAAATAGATGCAGGATAAATGAACAAGAAGCTAACCAAATTCTCTTATTAAGTACTCTCCAGAATCACATGCGAAACATCAAGGGCTCAATAAGAGATAAAGGTTGCTTCATAAGAGTCATCTACTCGTCTGCTGATCAACAGGTTTTCGCGTAGTTACTCTGGAACTGATTATGAAGAATACAAATTCTGAAGTATCAATAAGTTGCCAAGTCTTGGATTAGTCTCACAGCTCTCACTCGTTATGTTGTGGCTCAGAATATCAAGAACTATTTCATATAAATAATGCTTGAGAACTCTTTCATGGAGAAACGAACCTTGGATGTTTCGGCAAAACAATATATTTTCTCAGGGGAAAAGGAAAACACAAACAAGTCGAGATAGATTCCTAGTCGAAACTTTACGAGTTTGTAGCGAGTTTGTTGAAGGCGGCATGAACTCTCTCTTCCGTGAACAGTCTGTGGTTTTCATAGAAATCTAATATCTCCATTGCAATATTCTTCACCTGCCAATATGTTCAAAATATACCGATGAATAATTAAGACAAGACCATGCCTTCGCGTAAAAACAGAGCTAATATTTTCTCAGATAATTAGAAAGATAATAACAATGTTTACGACGTAAATGCATATATATATATATATATAGACAAGACGTACAATGTTCATGTCGACAGAAAGCTCTTCGAACCATGTCCTTATGTCTTTCTCTTTGTGTACAGAAGCAATGTAAATGCAAGCGAGTGTGATGAGAAAAGGCGGATGTATAAGGATGAGGTCCATTCTGTAAGTGTCGTTAACAAGACCCCTATAGTTTCCAAACAACAATTAAAGAATCAAGAGAGCATTCACTTTTTTGCTTGCAAATCGAAACCTGTTTAGCTCTGTTCCAATTTAAGATTTTTCAAGTGCTGGTTACTGTTATACTATTGACTTCTTGCTTACAACAACACTTCATCCCCAAGCTTAATAAAGAACAAAAGTTTTGGATACTTACCAAGTTAAATGGGTCATACTTGTGTCATTGATTCCAGAATCCTGCAAGAACCTGTAAGTAATGCAAAGAAGGGTAACCAAAACGAAATGCATAGAATAGTCACAAAAGGATTTTGATGAAGACACATAAAATCCTTAGCAAACAACTTACTCAGGCAGAGACCGGTATGGATGAAACACAACAAGATAGAAGTTCAATGCTTCCAAGATCTTCATCTCCATTTCAAGAATATCTTTGATCTCATACCTAAACTTTTCATCAGCATCTACAGAGAGAGAGAGTGAAGCATCCAATTTCTAATCAAAAACGCCGCAAATTTTCCAATCAAGAAAGATTAGAAGCAAAGACTTACACAATTTTTTAATGTAGAAGACAATAAGTTTAGCATGAATCACACTCTCTTCTGCTTTGCAAGCCAAATACAAGCAGGTCGGTGCGACAAGTTGAGGCTCATATTCCGTCAAACTCTTTCTGCCAACAACACAACAGTACACCATAAAAACCAAACAACCAAGCCTCAGTGCTACATAACATTACCAAAATCAACAGAAACCATACAAACCTTGTGTAGACACGACGCATATAAGTCACTGCAGTAGCAACAACTCTGTAATCATAAAGTGTTAAATCCATCAGCATTGTTAAAAGGGTCATTGCACATTTCAAATCTCTCTGAGACTAACAACAAAAGACTTCACCTTTGCCTAATCTTAATGTGTTGAGCCAATTTTGATATATCTGAAAACCAAAACAACAAAGAGACCATGGAAACCCACAAAACAACGAACAAAATTAAAGACATAGAGATGGTTAAATCAAATTCTAAGTATTACAATTAGACATATGAAGCTTGATGAGTCTGAAATCTTCAACAGAGATTCCTCTTTGAGCATCAATGGGATTAACAACATTAATCTCTTCTGGGTCCTTAAGCTCTTTGCTGTACGAATAAAACCCAGAACACGAATCAATCAGGAACACATAGATACTGAAACAAGACAAGGATCTGTGATGTCAAGATTGAAACTTACTAGTGCGTCGATGTCCAGAAATTGGAAGCCATAGCTTCTTCGATTCTTCAACTTCAAAAAAATATAAAGTTTCCTTTTTTATTATGAGAGAGAGCATCAGAATCCCTTATGGACGGTAAGCTGTAACGCCTAGGGGAAAAATAAAATAAAGTAGAGTATTATCCCAATTATTCATAGAAACCAAACAAATAATTATATATTTTCTAAAAGCAATTTTTTAATAAAATTTTATGGATTTGTTATTATTTTTCAGACTGAAAAAAAAAGATTAAACAAACGTTTTAGAATTTTTTTTTTATATATTGAGTATTGACATTTAATGACAAATCTATATGATTCCAGAAAGGGAAAAATGTCATAAAAATCCCGAACTTTCAAATTTGGGACAATTTAATCATGAACTTTAAAAAAGTCATTTTAATCACAAAGTTTGGTTGACTTTTCCGTAAAATAGTTAAGTTTTGTTGACTTCACTTATTTAAGCATGACATTTATTTTTTGTTAAAAACTTGAGGATGTGGTTAACTATCTGTGAGCTGCTTCTATTTAGCCTAAATGACCATGTTTCTTAGACGACAAAACGACGTTGGAAGTCGTTTTCTTCCTCCATGGGTATGTGCTATAGCAACAATTCAACAAGCAGTAAAGAAAATTTGTGGATTTTTCTAGGGTTAGGGAGTTAGATTTGTGAATTATGAATCAATTTTGGGATTTAGTTTCTTCAGTTTGTTAAACGACGTCGTGAACTTTGCCAAATTAATTTGGGAAAAATGTCATAAAAATCCTGAACTTTCAAATTTGGGACGATTTATTCCCGAACTTTCAAAAAGTCATTTTAATCACAAAGTTTATGTTGACATTTCCTTAAAATAGATAAGTTTTGTTGACTTAGCCAATTTAAACACGATATTTAGTTTCTCTTAAAATTGCGAAGACGGGGTTAACTATCCGTAAGTTGCTTCCGTTTCAAACCACAAAACGCTGTCGTTTAAAAAACTGAAGAAACTAAATTCCTTAATCGATTCATAATTCACAAATCTAACTCCCTAACCCTAGAAAAATCAACAAATTCTCTTTACTTTTTGTTGAATTGTTACCATAGCGCGGACCCATGGAGGAAGAAAACGACTTCCAATGTCGTTTTGTCGTTTAAGAAACATGGTCATTTAGGCCAGGGGCGGATCTAGAAAATTTGTTCAATGGGGGCAAAAATATAGTTAAAAACTATCAAATACTAAATTATAAAAGACATAAAATTGTCATGTAAAACTTTAAAACATCTTACAAAACCACTCAGACAATCATTTAACAATTGAAACCTTTTTACCACATTTTCATTTGTGACAGATTCAAATAATTAAAAACAAAAAAACATGTTATTAATTAAAAATTTAGAAAATTTTGAATTTATAGACTTATATTTTAAAATTTATTAATTTTATATTTTTGAATTATGTAACAAACTTCCATAAAAGCTTAACCATAGAATAAACATATAAACAATTATCACTGCAAAAACTAATGAGAATTTTTGAGAAATGCCCCTTTTGGTGTACCATTTTTAAAAATACCCCCTTTATCTATCCATTTTCAAAAATACCCCTTTTTAAATATAAAAAATTATAAAGTTTTATATAGTTTATAAGGTACTTCTATATAATAACTCCTACTGGGAGATTCGATACAAATATTTTAAAATGTTTTAAATAGTTTTAAATCGTTTTTATAAGTTTTATAAGGTTTTTAAAAGGGTTTATACGGTTTTTAAAAGGTTTTTATAAGGTTTTTATAATTTATTTTTACACTATTTATGAAAGGTATATTAAGTTTTATACACATATAAAGGTAATTTGTGTATATATTTATAAGCTTACACACATATTTGGATAAATTTCAACATTTTTAGTGGGTTTTTTGATAAAGTTTGAAAATGGGGTATTTTTAAAAAGAGGTATATGAAAAGGGGTATTTTTGAAATTCCCCCAAAACTAATATAGTCATGTATAACATAAAAACCTATATAATGTTTTCCAGGAAACATAGTTATAAGCTTGAACTGATTAAATAAAATTAACTGACTAAAAAATAATGCTTATATAATAGAACAATTGTAAAAAAAACAGGAAAATAAACTCACAAATTGATAGTTGTTGATTTGTTATCACACAAAGAAACCAAAGGACTAAAAAAGAAGAAAATAACAAAAAATTAAGTCTAGATTAGTAAATCTTTAATTTATATATTAATATATTTTTTTTGGTACATGGATTAATGGGCTTTTCAAGAAAAAGGATAAAAAGTAGTTTTCTTTTGTGGGGACAGATTTTGTTTTCTAATAATATTAATAATTTTTTAATATTTTTTTTTTTTTTGGTTGGTGGCAGCTGCCCCCACCACCTTGCCTGTGGGTCCGCCCCTGATTTAGGCTAAACAGAAGTAGCTCACAGACAGTTAACCACTTTCAAATTTTTAACGAAAATTAAATATCATGCTTAAATAAGTAAAGTCAACAAAAGTTAGTTAAATAAGTGAATAACAATATTTCCTAAATCTCTTACCTGAGTAAGATTAACTTTGTGATTAAAATGACTTCTTTAAAATTCAGAATTAAATTGTCCCAAATTTGAAAGTTCGGGATTTTTATGACATTTTCCCAAATTAATTTATATTTTTTTTTTCTCCTCATCATGATTCAGTATGACCTTTTTCACATTTTAGCTTTCTACTAAGAGAGGTTTAGGCTTAGATTAGGAAAAACAAAATGGGTAAACAAACCAATTTTGATAATCAATTAAAAATAATGTTTACTTTAAGATTAATATGTTTGGTAGGATTAACAACAATGTTACATGTATTGCCACAGAACTAAGAAGTCTTTAATCTTATTTTTCTGTGAGATAAATGTTGGAAGATGGAGAAGATTTCATCGGTTGCTATGGTTTCAAAGCCAATTTGCTGAATGCAGAATTCACTTTTTCCTCGGTGATTGTTCTGTAATTCTCATAGAAGTCTAGAATCTCCATGGCAATGTTCTTCACCTGCAACTCAATGCCCCATGTAGAGATCTAAATGTCATAAAAGAATACCGCAAAATATCGATAAGGGGTTTTGGAAGAATGACTGACCAAGTTCATGTCCTCATGAAGATCTTCAAACCATGCAGTGATGTCTTTCTCTCTGTGGACACTCGCTATGTATATGCACGCTAGCGCTATGCGATAAGGTGGATGTACAAGAATAAGATCCATCTTATAAGTATCGTTAACAATTCCCCTGAAACACGAAAACAAAACTCGGTTTTTCGAATGCTTTTTTTTTACTCAGGTCAGAGATTTAGGAAATAAGTTCTGAGGAAAATTTCTCATCATAGAAGGACTTTACCATGTGATTTGGTTCATATTTACATCGTTTATTGCAGCATCTTGCAAATACCTGAGAAATCAAAAGAATGAGTTCTTGAAATGAAATATAGGTTTTCTAACTAAAATGAACTCAGATACCAAAACTCTCCTAGTGAATAATAAAGTCGATCCAAAAATTTCACTATATGAACTCAAAAACATTAAACGGCAAGTTTCTTTACATGTATCATCATTTACACTTGTAATAATCTCTTCTCTGTTTGCAACACAGACAATAAGATAAAACAGATGCAAATTACATTGCCTAATAAAAGCAGATAAGAGAGATAATACTTACTTAGATAATGACATGTAAGGGTGAAACACAACCAGATAATAGTCGAGTGCTTCCAAGACCTTCATCTCCATTCCTAATATATCCTTTAGTTCATATTTATACTCATCAGGATCTGCAACGACATAAGAATCCTTGTCGAAAATGTCAAAAACCGCATATCAATTATCAAAGCCAAGAACATCAAAGACAAAAAACACAGTAGAAGAAGATATTACACAATCTTTTGATGTAAAAAACAAGATTCCTGGCCTGGACAATGCTTTCTTCAGCTTTAGATGCCAAGTACAAGCACGTAAGAGCAACAAGACGAGGCTCAAACTCTACCATACTCTTTCTGAGACAGCATAACGTCAAAAGAATATATCAGTGGCTAAACCTGAACCTTTCACAGGTGTTGACTACACTTTCAAATAGTAAAATCAAGAACTGTCAAGAACTATTGGCAAATAACACATTTCATTCACATTGATGCAACAGATCATACACAAATTACAATTATGCATACCTTATATAAACCCTCCTCATATACGTAATTGCAGTAGCCACAACTCTACATAAGTATTGAAACCAAAGCGCAAAGAGCCAAAGGATTCATATTTAATTCCACAGAACCAAAAACAATTTAATGAAGCAAAAAAATGGATCCCCAAATTACAAAAAAAAAAAAAAAAAAACAAACCTTTGCCTTACTTTAATGTGCTGAGCCAATTTCATTATATCTAAGAAACAACAAAGATTCATATGTATAAAATCTCAAACACTCTCTTTGATCAAATTTATAAAAAGGAAGAAGCTTTCGTTACGATTAGACATATGGAACTTGATGAGTTTGAAATCATCAATTGAGATTCCACGTTCTTTATCAAGATCGTGAACTACATCTACTTCTTCTTGATCCAAAAGCTGTTTACTGCTTCGTCGTCACACCAAACACAAAAAAAAACAAAAAAGTCGAGATATTGAAAAATTAGAAGTTGGGTTAGAAGGAGAAGGAAGAAGAAGTAGTGAACTTTGAAGAGGATTAGTGATTACTAGTGAGACGAATTCCAGAAATTGGCAGCCATGTTTTCCGGTACACCGTCGAGATTTTGTTAAGGAGGAAGGAGGAGGAGAAGATCTTTTGGCTGGTGGTTTCATGATCTATCAAATAGTTGCTTTTTATTTGAAACTTACATTTTTAAGGTGTTAGGCCCATTAGCGGCCCATTAGGGGCCCATTAGCGGCCCATTAGCGGCCCATTAGTCATTTTTGTTAGTTAACTCGGCCCACAATAGTCATTTTTGTTAGTTAACTCGGCCCAATAGAAGACGTTTTTGAATCTAAACTGACAAAAATTTAGGTATGAAAATCTCATATATTTCTGTCATTGAGTAGTTAATAGTTTGATGGAGATTTCAGATTATGTATAGAAGTTTCAAAGGTTGCTCACCCAA